GCACAGAGGACACGAATGTCAGGACTGGTTCAGGCTGAGGAGCCTGTAATGGGCAGATGAAATGCCAGAAGGTTGGAGGTGAGGGGAATGCATATATATGTCCTGAGACCTGTGTTGTCTGTGCTAAACTGAGTGTGGTGAATGAAAGTGGCTTATTTACATCCCACAATAGCTCAACATACAAAATGTGCAAGAAATGGCTTTTCTGAGGAGTGACTCCATGTCTTCCTAAGCTGAGCAAGTCGGTTTTATGCTAGAAGAGCATGCATTTAAAATGGAGAGAGAGATTATACCTCTTGCTGGCACAGTAAAGGCTGATAATTCTTGATGAACAGCACATGGGGCTGCAGAAAAAAAGGATGATATTTTAGATGCAGTTGGAAATATTCCTCTTTCCTCACTCCAAGAAACCTCTCCCTCCTTCCTCATTTATTTGCTCTTCTTTCTATCACTGTTTCATTGATACCATTTTTCTATTTTATCTACTGCTCTGGGGTGTTTTGCATTCTTTCTCTGCTTCAGCCATTATTATAGGCCTACACTTCAATCTCATGTGAAGCTTATAGGAACAAACCCCATGGATAATGGGAAAGGAAGCAACTACTGTGATTCTGATTGCATGTGCTCGAGCATATGTTTAGGTACATGAAGATTTTTCAGGACTGTTTTTAAGTCAGTTGGGCAATGGTCTAATGTATGCGTTCAGCTAATCTGTTTGGTATCTTCATCCTTCTCATGTTTTGAACTGTTCTGTCAATACTCTGAGTAATAGTAAACAAGAATATCCTAACCAAAAGTAGACTTTTGTACATTGGGTTAAAAGACACTACATGTATTAGTATTTTAAAGATGTATTATTAAATTTGGAGTGGTGCTCCAGAGCTGCTGTGTGCAAATGTACATTGAACTACAAAAACTTCCTAGTTGTATCTGAGTTTTTGTATTTCTTCTGTGTTTTGGCTGCTTTCACTTGTGCGTTACATCCTGACTTCAAGTTTCTCAGGAGATCATTACACTTTTTTTTCAGAAAGCAGTCACTTCCCTGAAAATAGTGCCTTACTGATAGTGCAAAGTAGTTTGGTTTTGCTGTATGTAAGAGCAGGGCTGTTTGTTTTTACTTGCTGCCTCCTGTAAATGGTTCCTGCAAAAGCAGTCTTTGCACTGGAAAAAACAATCTCCTTGGGCTTGCTCTTTTTCCTAGGACTTGGAAATACTGCCAAATAGTGATCTGAGAAACTTTAATCCTCATAGTCTTGCAAGGCTAGTGATGTATGTTCGGGTCAAGGTAGCAGTTTGAGGCAAGATCTCTAACAGAATACCCACTGCTGTTATAAGAACATCTGTTATAAAGAAGAGGTACTTAACAAGTTTCATGACTAAGGGGGAAGCATTCACTGAAACTTTCTTGTGATTTATTTTGTAAAGAGTTAAATAGATGCACTGGCAACTAAAAGACCGAAGTTTTTCAACTGTCAGTGGAAAGATACAGTGCATTGTAGGCTGTTCAGTATTATTCAGGTGCATCATATGGTGTTCTTTTTTAACCACATTTTAATTAGTCCTGTAGCAGGGAAAGCCTTTTAAAATATAATCTGTGAGTGCTTTTATAGAATGTTAGGGGTTTTTTTTCCCCTTTATTCTTTACTAATTGGGTTTTTTCTTTGGTTTTGAGTGTTTTTTTTAAATTTTAAGTTCTAAGTGTCATGACTGACATCAGTTGGTGAATTTTTCAGCAGGGTAGAGGCACATTTAATTATATTCAGCTGTCACTGAATCATGTCCCTCAAACATTTAGCTCATTCTTTTTTAAGAAACCAATTATAATTAAATCATTGACAGCAGGAGTTTGTAGTTTGTGTGGAATTAAGATAGGAATGTATAATTCTTGGGACTAGAATGTTTAACAGATTTCTTTTTTTATTTAATTTCCTAACTGCAACTCTTTAAAGTGCCCTGAATTGTGTACACTGTGTCTACAATATTTTGCTTTAGGAATCTATGTTGGACTAGTTTATTAATTTTTTTAATAGGTACTTAAATAGATTCAAAATACTTAAGTTTTTGAATGTAAATAATATTGATTGTTGAAGTAGATGTTGTAGATGTTTCTTCTCTCTATTTAGGTAGTTCAATGAAAAGACACTTTGATTTCAAGCTTGGGGAGCAAAACCATTTCGTACTTATTCAGAGGCTTGTAAAAGCCTGGTTAGACATATCTTCTTTAGATAAGCCTGTTTTTCTCCATGCATGTGGAAAGGCAGGTGAGGACACAGCTCTTTGAGAGAGGTGACTTTTCTGTTCCTCATGCACAGTACACAGTGGAAGTGACAAACCCAAAGATTGTTGAAGAAGGGGAGACTCAAACTAGAAAGTGGAGGTGGTGGCCTGGTGCTGGGCTGTCCTTCTGCATGTTGTAGTCCTGGCTGCAGCTGTCTATTGTCTAAATACCAGGGCACCAATGCTCATTTATAGGCAAAACAATCCTTTGTGCTTTATTTCTCTCTGGTCAGTGGGTAGATTCCTGGTCTTCCCTGGCAGCTTTGCTTTGGGAGACACCTGCAGAGTACAGGGGGATGGACCACGAGAGTTATGCTTCCTGGTGATCTCCTTTATACATGACACTGTATAAAGTTTTCTAAAGTGAAAGAATTTACATATCAAACCTTGTCACAAGATTGGTTTTCTTAGGGTCAGCATAGCTACTGTAATAGTCCAGCGCATGAGCTGTTCAATTACGAAGCTTAGACTTAGTGTATAAAGGGTTAATTTTCTTTAAAAATTATCTTTGGAGCAGAAAGGGGTATACTAATTTTTATAAGCAGTACTTAGGTGACTGCAAAGTTAATATATTCAGAAAATAGTGAAAGCTTTATTACAGAAAGATTACACACACTTTTTTTTAATATTAGTGAAAATAAGCAAGGAATTTTTTTATATGCTGCTGTATGCTGAAATATTATTATTAATTATAAAATAGTTAGTAAATAAATCTTTCCCAGTACGTATTGACAACTACATTTTAAAGTATTGGACATTTAACAAATGACAAAGCTTTAAGGCAATAAAATCTGCTTGGTAGTAATACCATGTATGGTATACATGTAAAATCTGTTAATATAAAGGAATTCTTTTCTCTAAGAGAATACTGTCTCTCAAGATCCTTTTCTTAAACTATACCTCATTTGTTTCACCCTTTGATCCTATGAAGTTTACCAAATTGAAAGAAAATTCAGTTAAACACTTGGCTTTGGCTGTTCAAAATATTGACCTTTAAATGGGAATGTGTCAACATTCATCAGAATATCGTGGATGGAGAGGATCAATCCTTCCTGCATTTTTTTCTGAGGAATTATCCAAAGTGAAGTATTAAACTTGCATTATCTTGAGACTGATACCAAACAGCAGAGCTCTAGCTACTAAGCTGTTCTGACTAATCCTACATTGTTCAGTGTCACTGTGCCTTAATACAATTTTAGTGGATAAACTCAAGTGTTTTTTTTCTCAGCTGACAGTGAACAGTGCAGATGTTTGTCTTCATTATTTGTTTTTTAATTTTCAAAAATTTGTTTGGCTCCACAATGATTTTTCTCTCTCCTAAGCCTTTTTTTTTTTTTCCTTTTTGGTCATTATCTATTTGTTGCGCATCTTTATTCCAAAAACTGTGTGCGAGTACATCTGTAAAGAAAGTGTTGAGAAAGAGGCGGAGTCAAAAGATGCAGTGATAAAAGAGAGAAGGAAAAAAGAGCTGGGGATGGTATCATGTATTGCTAAGAAATTAGTCTTTTTGGCTCCCTCCAGAAAGCCTACCTCCACTCTGTAGAGCTCCTCTTTCCAGTCTGGATCCCCAGCTTGTATACAGTGTTTCTTGAGCTAAGCACAGTTCTTGTCTGGTTATGCCTCCCTTATCAACTGGAGAAGGAAGCCTTTAACAATACTGCTAATACATTGATACAGACTGTTTTGGCATTTAGTTAAGGCTTTGTGCCAGACACACTTTTTTTGACAGTATTTTGGAAAAAGGGGTTGTTTAAAAGACTTTTCTTTTGAGATTAATGGCTTGTAAGGTAGTGCATTTTTAATTTATCATGTACCAAATAGTTGAAAATGTGTTCTTTTTAGAACTTCCTTAAGTTAGGAACAAAGGAAGACAGCAGGCTGTTGCTCTTGCAGAAATCTATTGTTCTAGTCAAATGGGAATTTGCACTGATAGACATCTATTACAGCTGCACCCAAAACCCATGTAAAGAGAAAATTGAAAGTTCAAAGTTAATATCAAAGAAGCAGGAAACGATACAGGAACAGCCACTGTGCAGGGTTTTTTTTTTTTTTCTTCTGCGGACATAAGCCTGTGGACAAAGGCAAGATTTTGCCTTTCTTTTTTTAATATGAGAGGTTTTTTGGTGGAATATACACCCTTTTTTCTTACTCTTGTTCTCTCTAAAGATTATTACTTTTATTTGTGGGAGCTATTATGTGAGGTGATCCCTGACAAGGCCAGTTTTCCTTTCCTGCCTGAGACTGATTGAGTATGCTTCCACACCAGTGACAGGTATTCCTGGCAGTTGTGACCAAGAGTATTTTAATGATTGCAGTGTCTGGAAGACCTGTAGATATTTATGAGTCATGCTATAGTTCAGGTTGGAAGGGACTTCTGGAGAGTGTCTGGTCCAAATCCTTGCTGCATTTGTGTGGAAGGATGGCAGCCCTCTTGGAGCTCTGTGGATGACGTGCGGCTTTCTGCCTTTTGATCTTCTGTTCTTTGCCATCTAAGGTTTTTTTTCTGCCAGTGATTCACTTCTGTTTTTCTATTATTTTTGCATTTCTAGAATCCTGTCTTAGGAGCATTTCTAAAAATAAACCATTTCAGACAAATGCCATCTCATTCCTGCAGACATTAAAAGTAACATACACATGCTTATAGGACTTCTTTGGGAAATGTCTTTTGTCAGTTTCCATACAGTTATAAAATATTAATGTTTCAAGTCTTATTTCTTTACAGGCCAGAAGCAAAATTTGGATGAAGCGATCTAACTAAGTTGCCGTCATGAGCAGAAGCAAGCGTGACAACAATTTCTACAGTGTTGAAATTGGAGATTCTACTTTCACTGTATTGAAACGATATCAAAACTTAAAACCAATAGGATCAGGAGCCCAAGGGATAGTATGGTAAGGTTTCTTTAAAGTTTAAATGTACTTTTAGGTTCTTCTGATAGACTTTTCTGAGTCCTTTAACTGTTGTATGTTACTGAGTAGGAGCGTGGAGAGCTGCCTTTTATGTGCAAAATGGCACTAGTAATTGCCCTTTTAACTCAGCCAGGGCTGTTACTGTTTGACCTATGTCCTTTCCTGCTTCCAAACCAATGCCCTTCTGTGCAAATTCAGCCAGCTGTACTGAGTCCCATAAATTAATGGGGGGACGACGACGACCCCCCAACCTGGATAAAGAAACTAATCCTAATCCTAAATCACACTACTTACAGGGAAACAAAATCCAGAAATATTCTGTATAGTAGCTGATGCTTGTAGATGCTTTAACTTGTTGAAATGGTTTGTTAGGGGCCCATTTCACTTAGTTTCATAATCTAACTATGCACTGATAACAGTTAGTGATCATTTGTGGTGTTGCCTGTCATTGTAATATGTAAATGCCTGACGCAGCTTAGGAAAATATGACTTCATAGAATGGTTTGGGTTGGAAAGGACCTTTAAAGATCATCTAGTTCCAACCCCCCACCACAGAGCTTGGTGTCACTGACAAACTTGCAGAGCATGCACTCAATACAATTCTTTGACAATATAATTCTCTGAATAAGACTTATGCTGTGTGGACTGAAGAGTGTTCGATTAATTTAAGATTGGTGGCAACTAGGTACTTGTGGGCACTATTTCCTGTTCAGTGGCCTTACCCCAAAGATAAATGTTGGTTTAAGCTTCTTGAGAGTTTTTTTAATATTCGAGAAGGATAAAGATAGCACAGGAGCTTGCAGACTTTACAGTTTATTATCTTAAGATGTTAACCAGAGACTTAACAACAGAGAATCAAGGAAGAGAAAGGTAGGGAAAAACATAATTTTCTCAAACCCTATTCCCTGTAACCTCTTTACTGCCCTGATCACTGTTTAGAGGACGTGTGGTATAGGTGTGTATTAAATTCTTATTTGTGTCTTAGCTGCGTTGGTTTGTTTGCTTAAACTGATCTAACTTGATTTGAAGGAATATTTAAGCAGATGGCCTGAAGGCTAAACCATATCTAGTACTGAAACAGAATACTGTACTGAGGATGCAGGAGTTCAAATACTGGTACAGGAGTCCCATGTTGGCAGTATTCCCTGTCCACCTCTTTGCCATGCTTTCACAAGATATTCCTTTTCTTGAGGGAAGTGGGGGGAAATTCCAGATAGTGGAAAAGGTAAACTAAAGGAAGTTACCAGTATATGTTGTTTCCATTTTTTTCTTTCTTCAGTAGTGTCTAGAGGTTTTGACTGTGTTAAAAAAAATATTAATTCGAGCCTGCCTACTACATAGAGGGCACACTTTTTGAAGTTGCTAGTTGGGTTTAGTAGATGGTGACTGTTTACTGGCGGATGTTCCTAATTAGGTTTGTGTACTGCTCTTGATAAGAGACGAGAACAGTATTTTCCCTGCTGAGGCTTTTTTAGTAACTGATAGATATTTCCTGAGTCTGCACTGCAGTCAGCTGTTACCTCCTACAGGAAACAGATCTCTGCCTTCCTGTCATGGAAATCTGATACTTATGGGAGTTGTCCCCAGTACCATTCTTCATCAGTTAAACAGCCTGCGTCACTGCATGTGTGACAATCTTGGCACTAGTCTCCAAACAAAGTGTTATTCTTTCTTTTTACCAAGTAAAAGCCAGTAATTTCAAGATGTTAAGGCTTTCTTAACGTTTTCTTTGTTTTATCTTGACGTTGATGCCTTCAGTGTCCTGAGGATATTAAGCAACTGCAGAAGTGAAAGCATGGGATCTTTGTATAACCTACATTTTTCCTCTCCTCCCTTCTTTCAGTGTGAAGATTCGACATAAAATTGATGTGCTTTTTATGTTTGAAGTGTTTGGGATCTTTTTTAGGTGGTCTGTTCTTGAGTGCCAATGAGTGGCAAGAGCTTAGTATCTTTAGTAAGATATTTCAGGAAGCAGAGATCCTCCTTTTTTTTTTTTTTTTTTGTGGAGATCTGCATGTGTTAGTGCTGCAAAGCTGGGAAACGTTTCTAAATTTTGAATCACTGAGCGTATAAGAGCACTTTGCTGTTGCACTCCCTAAAGCTGAATAATACTGGAAATTTCGTTTATCTGCAGACGTGATACAAAGTATCTGAAAAAGATGTCAACTGCCACAGCTTAAAGGACCTTGACACTGAGATGTAATAATGTTATTTTTAATTACAGTGCAGCTTATGATGCCATCCTTGAACGAAATGTTGCAATCAAGAAGTTAAGCCGACCATTTCAGAACCAAACCCATGCTAAAAGAGCATACAGAGAGCTTGTTCTTATGAAGTGTGTTAATCACAAAAATGTAAGTGCAGTGTCTTGCTTTAAATGTTAAAGAATTAACTAAGAGTTTATTCTGTGTAAAAGTCTTAAAAGAGACTTCAGAAGATGGCATCCTCTGTAGATCATAGAGATTTTCATTTTAAGTGCAGAAGGATCTTTCAGAAGAGCTGTTAATGGTTAGTTTTAAGTCCTGCCCAATCTTTAAATACCCCCTTCAAACTCAGGAAAGGACTGTTACTTTGCTACATTTTACAGGCAGCTGTCAAATAAGAATACTGCGAGTGGTAAGCACATCCTTCTTTCTGTTGCTTCCAGGAGACAGATAGGAGGAAAAAAGGCTGTAATTTTGTTTTGTTTTGTTTTCCTGCTGCATGGATGAATTGGGAAGCTTGCATTGTGACAATGGGAACTGTCTGATGCTTAAGAAGCTCTGGAGTAGACGAGATCACAGAAATGGGGAGAGAATAAGGGATAAATTTATCAGAGTTGGTCTACAGAGGGCTGGTATTGGCCATTTTCTTCCTTCAGGGGCATCTGTGTGCTCTCTTCCTCACCCTCCCTCTTAATCCCTGTTCAGCAAGATAAAATTCCTCCTGCCTGCTAGGGACAGTCAGTCATTAGAAGACTTACTCTGTCTTTTAGCTACTTGGGGAAATTTTCTGTTTTCTGTAAAGCAGAGGTGGTTTATATATGGATTCTCTGAAGGAAGTCTTACCTAATAGCATAATTCATATGATGATAAACTATTGTAAGCCTGCCTGACTCTTGAAAACAGGTTGAAACAGACCTGTTTCTGCACATCCCAACCATTCTTAGCAAGTGGGAAATATCCTAAAGCAGCTCCAGGAATCTCTCAAATTTCTCTTTGGGTGGGCTTGTTGCTTCACCTCTGTCAATAGCAAAGTGGTATCTCTTAGGTAGTCTTTGTCAATTTTTTATTTTATTTTTCCTCATATGCCGTAAAAATCTTACCAGCTCTTTTCAAACTGAATGTAGGAGGCAGGGGGAAACCAACTTCCTTAGGCTTCAAGCTTTGAATATCATCTTGTTAATGCATGCAGAATGTCTTTAGATTGTGATTTGTGGAGGAAAAATATTCCTCCTAAAATCATTAGCACGTTAGGTCTGGTTGAGCTGCTGAGCATCTTGAGCTTCAATGTATACCAGGAAGCTCAGGATAGTTGGGTATTGGTTTTGAAATGCTGACTTTGCAACTTTGCTATTGCTGTGGTGCAATTATACTTCTCCCCCTCCCTACAGATAATCGGCCTACTGAATGTGTTCACACCACAAAAATCCCTGGAAGAATTTCAAGACGTGTAAGTCTTATTTGAACTAAAGCCGAGAATTAATTTAAAAAATGTTCGTGCAGAAGGATGAACAAGAGAAAGAATACAATCAAATGGCAGTATTATCTGATATTTTTGTTTTGTTTTGTTTCATAAGCTACATAGTGATGGAGCTCATGGATGCAAATCTCTGCCAAGTGATTCAGATGGAGCTAGACCATGAACGAATGTCCTATCTTCTTTACCAAATGCTCTGTGGTATCAAACATCTTCATTCAGCTGGAATTATACATAGGGTAAGTGAACTTAACTATGTATATTTTCCATTGCACCTGGTTTAGACTTGAGTATTTAAAAATCAAAAGAAAAAATTCAGAAATAAGAACAGAAAGGGTGATCCATACCCTGTCCCATAGGCAGAGAGAGAAAGCTGAAGGGAACTCATCACACTCACCTTTCTGCACTGTAATTCTGGAGTGAACTTTTTGAATGTTTGAACGATTTGATAATAATCTGCACATAGTAAATAAAGGTTTTTGCAGTGAGTTACATTACCTCGTCTATGTAATGTTCTATTTTAGTAGTCATGGCAGGAAACAATATCTGAAAGCATCTCTGCCTTTATTGCTGTGGTAACCAAACCTGAAATCCCATCTTTTGAAAGAACTGCCCATTTTATTTCTGCTTTTTTACTAGCAGAGTAATGAATAAATGTATGATGTCTCCAGATAAACAGATGATGATAAATACCTGTGAATGGAACCTTCATACACCAGTGTGTCACAAAGCATTCACTCAGACTGCACTCAGGCAAAACTGACTACTGCTTTTTAAATGGCATGTTTGTTGCATCCAGTCAAAAAATTCTGAATCTGAGGTTGCCTGTTCAAGTTGAACATCTCATATATTTGTACGTACTGTAAAGATTGCTTGAGATTGTATAGTTAGAACTTTTCAAATATAACCCCTACTGTTTTGGGAAATTTTAAGTATGTATTTCTACAGTGCTACAATTTTCATTTTAATTTTTTTAGAGAGTTTCAAAGGTTTTTGTTTCTGAAATGATGCAGAAGATACAGTTGAACTTATTAATGTGTGATACATTCAGTCATTACTGCATAGTCGTCTTCATGGATGATGTACACAAAAAAGTACATCATGAATGTCAGTTCTGAGTGCTACTACAGGAACAGCTATGTCATGACGCTTGTCCACTTCAGTAGTCCACCTCATTGTGACCGGGGCGTTGAGCGGCCTGCAGGCGATCTAGCAGAATGGCACTCCCATTCAATATGCTGTTCTGAGATGTTCAAGGCAGATTTTCAGCTGACAGCTTCTTCTCAGACTTTGTTAGAAGATTACATTCAGGCAAAGTGTTTGCATTACTTAGCTGCTGTGTGCGTTATGCCTTTATACTTCAAGGTATAAAGTATCAAAATCCTGTTTCTCTGTGGAACAAGTTAAACAAAACCTCAGAAGACAAGAAGGGCATGCTTGAAAAGGGACATTTGTCTTATGGACCCTGTGGTTGCAATAGTAACTCTTTATACCGCTCACTGTCATTTATGTCTAAAGCTGATTAATTTATTGAAACTAGTTATTCCTTAAACATCGTCTGCACTACTGTGGCTGCCTATGGACCATTCTGGCAATGAATCTAGTGTACCCTAAAGCTTTAAGCTTTTCTTTTTGGTGTTGGTAGTTTCATGTAGTTTCTGTGTTCTTCAGCTTCTAACAGAGCTGCGGTCACCTCAACAGCCCAGTAATATTTTCAAAACTTGCTCAGTGACTCAAATGACAACAATCTGTATATGTGCCTGTAGCACTGGATACTTACTACCTGCCATAGAAATAAGTGTGTTTTTCATAGCAAACTAGGGACTTGGAACATGACAGAGCTCAAACACAAAGAGTTTCAGTTTCACCCAGAAGTTGTCGGGGGCATACTTGGCTGCCGCATCAGTGGATAAAGGTTTGATCTTGTTAAAGATTTTACTGTAGCTTTACACTGGCTTTAACAGATGTTGGCAAATGAACATTACTGTGTTGAAAACATTTTGCAGAGGCAGTGTTTCCAGCAAGTGTAGAAGTACATGTTCAATTACATTTCGCAGTCTGAGAAGAATGACTGATCAGCGCTGCAGAGTTGTGCCTCGCTGACTTACTGAAGGACACCAAATCTCATTAGTCTTGCATGGAGGCTCTGAAACATTGTATTCTGCCTGATTTTGAGCACTTAACAATTAAGTGTCTAGTTATGGAAGCCATTCACACAAATCTTTCTTTAGAAAGGGAAAAGCCCATTAGAAGCCATGAATTAGCTTCCAGAGATGCCCCTCTCTCCCTGTCTGGTTAATGTGGAGGCAGCCATGAATAATCTCTGATTTTTAGGCCCTGACATTTTACATTTTTAAGCTTCTGCTCTAGGTTCTGGATATATTTATACAGCTTAACTAACTTGAGCACTCTTACAGGAGTTTTTGAGTCCTTGTTTATTTGAAACATAAGAGGTATTGGTTCTGGATAAATTTGGATGCAGTGTAAGTCAGCTCTAGCCTCCAGCATTCCAAAGGACAGTTCTGTATTTCACATTACAACATGTTTCTAGGCTTCATGACAGCTTAACGGTGCTTAGAAATTAAGGATGGACAGTACTGTGAAAGCTGTTGTTTTTTTGTTCTCCTAGGGATTTTTCTCTTGCAGAGGCAATATCTCTTAACATTTTCATTGTTAATCCTGCAGCTTTGGGGAGGATGAGTATAGTTAATACTACGAGCATGCAGCTGGGATTCTGCAGTGAACATCCTCCAAATAATAAAGAGTGTAAAAATAAAGGTGATAATAAACAGGATTGCAGCAGAATTTGAAACATGCATATTAAATATCAGGGATGCCTTACAATACTTGAATTCATTTGTGGCATTTGAGAATCTTTTAAGCCAAAGTTGTCTAAAGAGTCTTTGTGTGTGTGATTTGGAAGTGCATGTGTGAATATGTATGTATGCAAGATTTTTAACTACACATAAAAATTCTGTTATTCTGGAACTCCTTTTTTGTGGTTTCATCTCTGTTTTTAATGCAGCTTTCTTAGCTTCTGAGGAGTTTGGTAAAAGCCTTGCCAAGTACAAATGAAAACTACATAAATCTTGCAGAGAGCCACTTTAAGTCTATGAAACAGTGAAAGATAGGGCTACTTATCAAATGCCTGCAGCTCGAATGCTGGAATCCTCTGCCACATCTCAGGTTTTTTTATTAGTCTTAGTAGAGTGCTCTGTGACATTCTGATGCGTGTAAGATCCTCCTGAGATAATGACTGAGTATGTCTATGTATTGTCTATATAAATAGATGTTGTAACGCCACTATTGTCAAATGTGGTTTTAGTATTCAAATGAAGAGAATACAGTTTCCAAGTTTCTAACTAAAATCATCTGAAGCTGTATCAGACTGTGATCGTTTCTTGCATTTTTTTTTAATGGTGCCCTTTTGGGTTTGGTCACCAAAATTAGCATAAAACCAAATCTGAATTGGGAAACTAAATCTCTGTGAGCATGGGGATTGTCTTCCTGTTCAAAGAAACATCTGCATTGGTTCAAAAGAGGTAATGCAGCCTTCACACGCCAAAAAACCTTTTATTTTTTACAATCATGTTAAAATTTTACTAATTCTCATCAAGATGATTATTGCATCAAATAATTTCAGCAATTGTCTTGTTACTTGTTTTCTGCATTGTAGTAATAACTTGTTCCAGTGAGCAGTTTCTAGACCTTCCCTCAGAGCTAACATTTCTTACCTAACTCACTTTATTTCAGACACTGCTAACATATCTGGTAACGCTAGTTGTATTTTCCTTCTTTAATTGCTATATAAATCTGCAAGCACAATAAAGGAATTAATTCTGTAGTCTGCTGAATGCACATGAATTAATGCAAGGGGAAAAGAAACTGCAGTTATAGCAATAACCTGGTTGTATATGTGGGGTTTAATGTTAGCAATATTCTTTTTAAAATGTGAACCACAGAGTACTTTGTGCTTGTCTTAGCAGTCATATATGATGTTTCTTTTTAAAGGATTTAAAGCCCAGTAATATAGTAGTAAAGTCAGACTGCACTTTGAAGATTCTTGACTTTGGACTGGCCAGAACTGCAGGAACTAGTTTTATGATGACGCCTTATGTAGTGACTCGTTACTACAGAGCACCAGAGGTCATCCTAGGGATGGGATACAAAGAAAACGGTCAGCAAATATAGTCTTTCTTTGGCATAGCTTTATTTTTTGTTTGGCACACCACATTTACATGTTAATGTTTTTTTTTCGAGCTGTACAAATTTTATAAATTAGCCTTGTGACCAAAATGCAGATTCTGGATACACGAATTTGTTTATTCAACTCAACCCATTAGAAATGTTTGCATTTAATAGGAGAAGAAATTGAGGGCCTTGTTTGTTTAAAAATTGAAATAACTTGTTTGGTAGATTACTGGCATTACTTTTTATTTAAACCAGACTGCTTTAAACCTGTCGCACTAAGCTCTTAATTAATGTTGCTGAAGAGAAGAATAGATTATATACTTGAGACAAGAATGCAGAGAATACTGTCGTGAGGCATCGTAGATTCTTTGAGGTCTATGACAAATTCCAAGGAAATTTGTTTGCTTTGTCCCTCTGCTTGCATATAATTCCCTCCTTTTTATATTCATTGTGATGACCTTCTTCTCTGATTATCTTCTACAAGAAAATAAGGAAAAGCTACTGCATTTGAGGGAAAGACACCTTCGAATGCATTGCATCTTCTGAATGAAACCACTAGTATCCCTTAGGAAACCAAAGAAAGTAACATGTCATTCCTGAAGTTCTGTTGTAGCAGCCCCAATTCTGCTGTCATTTCACTGATCCCATCACTGTGGTCAGTTCAGCTCACTTGGTGTTTCCACCTCAGGCAGGCACATTGCACAGAGGTCACCGTTTGCTGAAGGTATTTTAAACCTGCTATTGATTAGTCCTCCAGTAAGGCCGAAGAGACGCTGTGATGCTTTGTTAGCTGTCTCTTGGTCATGCGAGGCATGGCTCCTCAGGTTACTGACACAACTGGGGCTTGCTCTGCTTTTCAGGATTCTTAATATAGTCTGCAAACTTCCCTGGCAACTGCATACCAAAACAGCAAGTGACTTCAGGGTGTGTGTAAATGATAGCTGCTATGTGCATAGAGAGTTGATTTTGTTGTTAATCATAAAAGCCAAGAAGGATAACTTCTGTTGTTGTTGGCAATGAAAGAAGCTAGCTCAAAGGAATGAGAATAGATCTTTTTTGCAAGGCTGTGTGGTTTATTTCTGTTTGGATGGTTAGTGTGCGGGAGAGGATGTACATTCTTTCAAATGGCAGCTTATAGAGAGCAGCTCTGAGGAAAAG